CTCGGTGAACAGAATTTTTTTTCGTCATTGGGGGGGGGGCGTGTTCGGGGGGGGCCCCTGGATTTTTTTAAGGTTTAAAACCCGGGGGAGTTTCAGACAGGCAACGGGCCCGTTCTCGGGGAGTGGGTTCCCCAATAGTTTTTGAGGGGGAGGCCCTTTTTGGGGGGTCCCTTTGGGTGGGCACACCGGAAAAGGGGTTTTTTTCCCCAAGAAAAATAGGCCCTTTTTTCAGACTGTGGGCGACAGGGGGGGCGAAGGGGGCCGTCCCCCCCCCAACAAAGGTTTTTCCCTGGTCCTTTCCCGGGTGGGGGGAAACGGGGGGGGGGAATCCCTTTTTTTTTTTTTTTTTTTTTTCCCCCCCCCCCCCCCCCTTCCCCCGCCCCACTCCTCCCCTCCGTTCCCTCGCGGGATATAGCCCCGACACTATCAAGAACAGCGGTACCATCCTATGCATATTAGTAGTTTCAAGTTTTAGCCATTTTTTGCGGACAGGAAAGGACTCTACGAACTAGGAACAAAGGGCAGAGACCACGGGGCAAAATACTACAAATGGCAGGTTATCATGGCGACAGAACGGGACAGACGACGGAGTGGAGACAACAACAACAACAACAACAACAACAATAACAACCACACCTAGGTGTTCAGACCAGAGGACAAAGAGATCACGGGGAAAAATAGACCACGGCGGCAGGACCATGGCCACAGAACACGAGCAGACAACGGTACTAGCTGACCGCTGCGGGAACCACAACGACAGAGATAATACTATTGTAGGGTGCTGATCACGAGCCCGTGAATTTTCGTGCGCCGAACCCGAACTTCGCTTGTCGCGTTGCTATTGATGCGCAATTGGTACGCGCTTTCATTCCGTCTTGATAGTTAAATCCGGTGCGCGCCAGAGAACCCCTCATTCGTGAACATGTTTTACCCGCGTGCCGAAGCCGAACTTGGGTAAATACATTGACTGTCTGTACGCATACGCGCTGTAATTTCGCCTTTCACATGTAAGAACGGGTTTCTGCTGACCTCCCGTGATATGCGTACACGTGTATATACTGGTCGAAACTGATGCTGACGCTTTCCGTGGCCGTAGACTATTATACCACAGACAAAGGCATGGTACTTTGAATGTCGACGAGGAGGAAATATCTGAGAAGAACCCCAGAAACACCAACACGAAATGTGGTGAAAATGATACCACTGTTTTTGGTCAGATGAGCATAGAGTCGGTCATTTCGTCATTTCGACAACGGCAAGTGTGTTTTTTTCGCGCCCAAGGGTGAAGGCGAACCACGACCATCCAAAGTTCGTCATCTTCGGGGGGTGCTCAAGTTCGCGCAGCCATCGCCCGAATAGTTCCACCTGCTTCTTCGTGCATGTTGGTGCGACAGCTCTTAATCTTGCAAACAACGTCCCGTGGGCGTTTCCATTGAATCGTAGTGACTCTCCCTCTCCAGCAGTAGTGCTTGCCGTCCTACAGTTGGTATGATCGGACAGGTGTGCGATGTTTTTTTTAAAGGTTGATTTGCGCCACAGCTGGTAAGAGGGTGGTTTTGCTGACACTTGGTTGGTTGGAGAGATAGTAACGTTCCTTGCGCGCATCGGTGGGCTTTCGATACACAGCACCTTTCTGGGATTTGTTGTGGAGCAATCGATCTTCAAGGAACAGAACAAGTCTATCTGCAAGGAACATGTCGATCTTCAATCAGCAAAGTTGATCTTCAAAACAACTGATCGATCTTTGAAGAAACAAACGTTGATCGCGGACCTGTGTGTTGTCGCCCGCACCCCTACGGGATGCGATAGTCACAGTGTGTTCTATATGAAGAAGGCGTTGCGTTTTCCATCTTCCTTAGTTCGTGAGAGACGCCCTTGCGCCCTCCCTCGGATGAGAGTGTTTGACGCGAGGGCAAGGCTGGGTTGGTGTTGTAGTCGCGGTGTTGTTCCTCTCGGCAATTTTTACTGGTACTCGCAGCAGCTTGCAAAAATGTCCGCGCTCAACCAACCATTCTTGCCGGCATCGCGTGCGACCAGTGCACGCCAACCACTGGCGCGGCGAACTTTTTGTTCTCCTTGCGGTGTATTCTCCCAGCAAAGGCACACGCCCTCTAAAGGACCACCAGAAACAACAGGACAGTTTTGCGTTTCCCGCGTGCGTACAGCAGTCAGTAGTGACCAACCGTAGCATCATGATGTCTCGAAATCCGGTGGGGAGCAGGCACTGAATGGGGGATGAGGCGAGATTGGACAACAGCAGTCCACAACGCCTCCGCATGACCGAACTCAACACAAAAATATAACATGCAACTGTCACCGTCAAAATGCAGTCCGAGAGTCCTGGACGGAAGAACGACTTGAAATTCGGACCGTGTTGTCGTCCAGCACACCCACCCTCGTAATGGGCGTAGAAGTGCTCGCGCGTTCGCCCATTTCCAGCGTGCCTACTGTATAGCTGAAAGGCAGTCACCGCCGTAGCATCATGGTGTCTCAAACTCGGATGAAGAAGAGACGCGCTTTTTTGCGAGCTTAGGAGCGCCATGAGACAGGGCGAGAGCGGAGAGATGCTTGGCTGCTCGAACGGCGTTGCTCTCGCCTTCCGCTCTCCAATGCCCAACCCAGAGCCCCGTCATTGAGCGCTGCCCTGATATCCGCCACCTGTTGTTGGCGTTGCAACCTGTTGGATTGTAGGGACAGAGGCCTTCCTCCGACCGTGTTTTCGAGAAGACAATATCGTTTGTTGTGTCGTTCGTTACAGCAGGGTTAGACACCAATCCATCGGCATGATTACCTCCTCCAGATGCAACACTGCGCTCCAGATGCAACGCTGCGTTGCACGTGTTTAAGCCCAAAAAACAAAAAATCGTGCCTCTGTTCACCGGATTTTAAGGCACCGTCATGCTACTGCGATTACTGCTCTTCTGCTGTTTTGCGCACATGAATCGCGCGAAAGAAGAGCTTGTTTGTCCAGATTCAACGGCACGTTGCACGCTTTTAAGCCAAAAGAACGTGCCTCTTTTCACCGGAGTTTGAGACACCATGATGCTACTGTACGGTCATTGTTGTACTGTTTGCAAGCTGGAATCGCGCAGTGCAGCGCTTTCTCTCTTGTGGCGAGGGTGTATGCGTTGGCTTGACTTGACGGTTCTAGTTTCAAATCGTTTCCAGCCGGGATTCTGACTGTTTTCTGGTATTGTGTTCAATTCTGTCATGCAGAGACGCTGTGCACTGCGGCTGTCCCATGTTGCCTCATCCCCAATTCAGCGTTCTGTTGAATCGCCCAAAATCCTGAGAATATGGTGCCTGTTCCCACCGGATTTTGAGACATGATGATGCTACGGTCGGTCGCCACCTCATACTGTTGGCACGCTGGAAACATGCAAATGTGGTTCTTCGTTCGTCTGTTGAGGGGTGTGCGTTTGCTGGGAGAAAACACTGCTCTAATTTCAAGTCGGTTCTTCTGACCATGATTGTGACTGCTGTACATAGGCAGCTGAATACCGATCTCTAAGGTCGAAAAAGGCTCGCGACGAGCCCACAACAAAAGCGCGAACCATCTCTTTGGAAGTAGGCTTGGTCTGTGGTATATCCGTCCCGGTCTGCGCTCAGTACCTCCTGATGTTCGTACTGGTCCAACTGCCGCAGACGCCTTCCGTGGTCACAAGCCAACTACAGCAGCATTGTACCCAAACGAGGCACAGCAGCAGAAGTGCTAGCGAAAGTAACATGTGTGCGATCGATGTTTTTGAAAGCTCGATTGCTCTATGGCCATGTGGAAGGAAGAGGCTGCCAATGCCGAAGAGGGTGGTTTTGGTTGCAGATTCGTCGAGAGGGGTCTTTGCTTTCCTTGCACACAAGTCGGTCGGGTTGTCTGTCAATCACGCTATGGACCTCGTGGGGTAAATAGATCGACCTCGAACCTGTGTGTTCGCCCTCGCAATTTTGCGGTACATGTACGACCCAGTCTCGGCACCACAACAGCAACAACAACAACATCGACAGTATTGACATTGACGCTGGCGCTTGACACCAACAAATGACGCTGTCACCACAACCACCCCAACAACGACAATGATGACGAACAACAAGATTAACGACAACGGCGACACTAACACTGACACTTTTGACGCCAAACAACGACGCTTGCCACCCACAACCAGGCGAACAGGTGCCAGTGCCAGCGACTCGGAGCGCGGCTTGCCGCCCTGAAGAAACCCATGATAGCCGTGCACCGGGGCCGGCAGACGGCGGATCACGCCGTGCTGGCGACCATTAAGGACCTCGTCACGGAAGCGCAAGTCTTCATGGAGAGGTAAGTAGTTCGGCACGTTGTGTGGTGGTAGTGGTGGCACGGTATATGGCGGTGGTGGTAACGGTATGGCGGTACGGTATCCAACACTCACCGCGGCTTGCTGGGTTTTTTTTCCGTTGCGATTTGCGGCGATTTTTTCTCTTGCGGCAATTTTTTTTTTTTTTGTCGTCGCCCGCTTGTTGTTTTTCGCGATGCGGGGAGAGAGAGGTTGGCCGTCCCACCGAAAACTCGAAGAAACGTCTTGTCGGCGAACACCTCCACTCTCGGATGTTTTGGTAGCAACTTGTTACATTGTACATCGTTCGGTATTGTGGCGGCCCCGCGTGTGGTTTCGTGGATAAAATTGCGTGATTACGTTTTTGTTTGCTCACGATAGCGCTCCAGCGTGCGTTGGTTCCGAGCGCGCCATGTGTATGTTCGTTTGTGCGTTTCATTCGTTAAATTGCTCGCTCGCGTGTTGCATGAAATAGGAATCCCAGCTGATGCCGTGTAGACCGCAAGAGCGGTAATAGAGGGTTTGAACACGAATGTAGAACTTGCGCGCACGGTATCTGTGCTACATAGGTTCCGCGTTGTTGTTCGGTGTACTCGACCACCCTGTGGGCACTATTGCATGAGCCCACCAAAAACGCGCCTCTTGTACCCTGGGGTAGATGCGTCACGTGTCGAACGGGAGCAATCAGCACGGCCACGTTTCATCAGCGTTGGATGGAAGTTCGTTTGCGAAAAAGCATTATCTCTCTCTCTCTCGCTCGCTCTCTCTCTTTCTTTCCAGGCTCGCTTAGGAAGCTCTCGCCTTGCTGTGTGTGTCTCTCTCTACGTCAACTTGTTTTTGCTTTTGCCTTGGGCACCTTGGCAGACTTGGAAAGATGCAAGTGTTGCTCTGACTGCACTGCGAATCTGGACTGACAGTTTGACCCCCTCGCTGTCTCCGCGCCAAATATTGTTGTGCGTCTTTACTAGATTCTTGGACCCTGAGTGGTGGAGCAAGGGGGCCAGCCGCAAGGAAGACTCTGAGATGTTCCGAGAGCTAACGTTTCGCTTGGGCTTCTTGATGCAGGTATGTTCGTGCGTACATGGGGGCACCGATGATTCGGAAGAGCCGGGGGGGGGGGGTGTACCCATGTAAACAACGCATGCCGTAGTCGTTAGACAATTGACCTCGAATCGTGCCTGTGATATGCCTTGGTATCCTAGTCGGAGGAATCGGGGCGCGGCGCACTCCCCCCACCGACAAGCTGTAGTGGTTTTCGCCCCATCGAACCAAGAACATATCTCCATGGGTGATCCCAACAAGCTTGATTCGTCAGCCATCCCCGCCGTCCGTTTGTTGCCATGTGGTCCGCATGGTTTCTTATCCCGCCGCCTGCGTGCCATCCTGTTCAGTCACGCGTGTACCCTCGACAACACTTTCGTTTTGGACACCAAATATTTCCGTATCTTGCTTGTTGTTCCAGGCGCCACCGGGCTTCCAGGAGCAGTCTCAGGAGGAAGATCACGCGGATCGCCTCCAGGATTACTCCGACCTGCAGATTATTCTCGAGGTATGCTGCGCGGCTGGCAGGGCAGCGTTGTTAGTAGGTCGGCGGCCGAAGTCCTTATATGGGTTGTTGTGTACGTAGTGTTTCGTGGGGGGTGCGGTAGCAGTATGTGGCAACATCGCCGGTGTGTGTTTGTAGCTGTAGGCAGGTATGTATGTAACATGCACACAAGAGCGAGGGTAACAGCACCTTTGGTATGTCGATGCCGTCTTGGTTTGTCGAGGTTGAAGTCGACGCCAGGCCCCGCTCCGTCCCTCGGGGCTCCGTGATTGTGTGTTTTTGCTCCCATCTGTTTATCTCACAAGTCAAACTGCTACAATAAAGAATCCCGGGCGGTTCCCCCGCGGACTGCTATACTCTCCTCACTCTCGCTTTGCCATAGGAGACACAAACCTCTACACTTCCTTGGAGGAAATCATATGTATGCATCCCAGCTTCCACAGCCCCGTCGACTAATAATGTGCCGCATGTCAGTTTAGGCCTTGTAGCGCGAGATGGAGGTGTGCTTGAAGTTTGCGATTTATGCACAATTGTCCCGTAGAGGTGTCAACAAGCACAGTCAAGTGCGCTTCAGCTGCCGACAGCTACAGCACGTCAGAAAACAACCGATGTGGTGTGTGAACGGCGTCGCATGCCTTGATAGCAGCAGTAGCAGACTACCAGAAACAATTGTAGAGGTGTTGTTGTGAACTGTTGTACCAATATGTACATGCATGCAGCAGCCCGAAGTTTGACCCAACTGTCGGATCTTCTGGATACTTTGAGGCGTCTCCGCCGTTCTTGACGTGTGCATCCCCAACCAACAAACGGATTCAACGTGGATCAAGCTGGTTCAGATATCGAGCCGGTTCACCGGGCGTTCATCTACACGCCTACAACGTGTAGCAGAGGTTTTAGATTGGGCACAGCTCAACCTGTCGATCTACCGACCCGAAACGGTATTAAACAGCTTTTTCGGTCGCTCTACGTTCCCTTTAAATTAACTGCTTTTTTTTTGTAAGGAACCTGGATCGCCTGACTATGATAAAACATTGGTATTCTGTGTGACCCTGGGGGCTAACGCAGGCCAGGTGAAGAGAGGGAAGAGATCGTTGGGCATGAAAACGTTGACAGCATCTGCTTCTACATCTTACAAGGACCCGCTTAGCTTAAAACGTGTAGAAACACAAAGTGGTCCTCGTACCACACTATGAAGTTCATTGCTAATTTATTGCCAATCTAGTCAAGGGACCATGTGAGGAAGGTATGGATTTGTTGCGTTTTTTTATAGAAAAAACATATCTTGTCTCGGGACAAAACTTCAATTGCATAGACAATACAATGGGATTTTGAACATATATATGTATATTTTCCCTTAATATTATGAAGTACTACAAATCTATCTCTATCGATAGAAAAGGGTCTGTCTAGGATACGAAAGTTGCCGCGTTTTGGGCGACTACGAGCAAGGGTTTTGGTTCAAGAAGCACTTGTCGCCAACATCAATCATCGGACCACAAATCCGGAGATTCTCAAGGTTGTCCGAAACCTCGAACGAGCGAACAAGATGTTTTTGAGTTGCAGTCTACCTGGCAACTAATCGTTGCAAGAAGAACGAAACTGCTCAAGAGAGTTTGTCCGAAGACAACTTGCCCCATGGAAATCGCCGCGAAAAGTTGTATACGGCCTGACAACATCTCGGTGCGTGGTTGAAAAAGTTGTTGTTGTTGTTGTTGTTGCCGTTGTCTTCACTTTCAAAACTGTTGTTTGTGTGGAAGAGATGGATTTGTGGCGTTCTTCGTAAAAAGAAAAAAAAAAGAACGTTTGCTGCGGATATGATGGATTCGGTGTGTTATATTTGTATCAAATATCAAAGGAAGAAAATCTTCCATCGTTAACTACCTTTTTCAATCCGCAGTTGGTTCCAACTAGCTCGAACGCCTTCCGTGATCACAGGCCAACTAACAACATTATAGGGTCACCCTAATATAGTTGAAAACAGTTCCAAAATTCCTCTGCGCGAAGTGGTGGAGGTTGGTCGATATCATGGCCCTCTCTTGAGGCGCATCTTCCTACAGTACACAGAGCTTTTTGTAAGGGTGACCTATCTCAGACCGACGGAAGGGGTTGAGTTGAACCTTCTCTCGACTGTGCGACCAGAGGAGACTTCCAAACCGACGGTGGGGAACCGCTAGTGCACAGACTTGCGGGACAGGAGTAGTTCTCTAGGAAGAGCCAACGGTGTGGTCTCTGGGAAGAGAGGGGAATAAGAAGAGTGAAGAGGGGTGTGCACAGCACACTAGCCGCAGCCCTGATGACGCAGAACCGACCTGACTAGGCGGTGGCACAGACACAGTCTGTGCTGGCGTGCTGACGTGGTACAGCACTGACACGCTACCGGGGAATCTCTCCGGGCGTGAGACGACAAACAACCATCTGGGTGGTTGCCGTAGAATGCGGTACGCGGGCATGTGTGTACAGTGACATACGGGTGCGCGCGGACCGCACGGAAAGATCCGCAGGACAAGCGGAGGAACAGTTGAACGTTCTTTGAGCGCCCGTCACATCGGCTGTCCAGTTGTGATTGGTTGATTTTGTCGCCTCGGTAGACAGGAACGATTGTGTGCCTTGAGGCAGACTGGGTGATGTGTTGATGGAAACAAGCCTCGAGTGCTCTGTGCGACAACAACCGACCTGCTTTTTTTTGTTTGTTTTTTCCTCGGCGGTTTCCAACTGGTGTGTTGTCTTGACGTATGGTGTATGTCTCGTGTGTGGTTGCTACTGTGTACTACTCCTTCTGTGGCGTTGAAAAACATTCAAACATCAAGGTAGATGTCAGAATCTCCGACAATGTCACCGCGCCGGAGCGAACGGGTTGGTGCCATGACGCGAAATACCACACCCCGTGGAAGGATGTTCAAGGCTCGGTTGCTCGACAGCAGACAGACCGGTGGTGCCGAAAAGGGCGGCGTTGTAACCGTTTTGTCGAGATCTCTCCTATGAAGCATCGTTTGGTTGGTTGTGTGTCCTCTTCGTCGTGGGCCTTGTCGTCGAGCTTCGAAATCGGTCGAGGGGGGGGGGGTGGTCTCTTTTTTCACACTACGGTTCCGGCGCACGTTAGCCATGCCCGCACTGCGCGCACTACCTGAGCAGCGGACGCGTGCTGGGTCTAAATACGGGCCAGCTACACATACGGTGTCCCACGCTTTGTTGCAAAAAATGCCAATTTATCGCGTAAAGTTGTAGTGCGTCAGCAAGGCCCAAAACCCTCTCTCCGTCTCTCGACTGTTGAACACAGCAGTCTAACTCCCAAGCAAACGTACTGAGTCTTGAACAGTGTGCTGCCAATTCAAATACTCAAATGGTTTTCTTTTTTCGATGATTTGAACCTGGGTTCTCTTGAGGTGTGATAGAAGGACGGAACTGTCTTTGGGTGTGTGTACGCGCTCGCCATGTCCATTGGCTAGCAAGACATTTTCTTTCTCTTCTCTCTCTCTCTCTTGCTTGTTGGAAATAACTGGAATTTCTGAACAAATCCAGTCTTTCGTCTTTTGTGACCGCGCCAACAGCCAACCGACAGCGGTTTTCCCAATCTCACGTCCCCAAGGTCAGTTCACCGTGTCCCTATGGGGGGCAAGGGATGCATCTGTCGTTTCCGCTTCCACAAGACCTGGTCAAGAAGTTACACAATGGTTCAGGGTTGTTGATCTCCTCCGAAACGAGCCTTCGATTCGAAAGAAGGTTCTAAACATTTCGCCCGCACGGAAGGACTTGACAGTGTAGAGGAGACCTTCGCGTTTGCCCTTGTATCGAGGATGAGAAGTGGAATATCGTGGGTGAGCCCGGTTGTAACCCCCTACACTAAAGATAAACCTGTTGGTATCTAGCGTTACTCTTGAGAACCTTGGTGAGCCGGGTTGGTTGTACACCCTTCCACGAAGAATAAACCTGTTTGTATCGTAAATAGCATTACCCGAAGAACCCCGGCCTAAGGCCAACACTAAGAGGGGGTGTCGGGTCCTGGACTGCTGTGGCGGACGGAATTCATCGCTCGTCACCCGTACCATACACCAGTACACACTCCTTGCTCTGTCGCAGGAAAGAGAGAGAGATGATGACGACCTTACCCGGCTTTGTCGAAAGCGAAGGTTTGCGAGACACCGCAGCAGTCCTGTTACAGTACGCCCTGTTTGCACGGGGCAACACCGCTTGAAGTGTGTGTGTGGGATCAACCGCCATCCGTGGTCCGTGCCTTGGGTGGAGACCTCTGCTACCTTGACGACTAAATAAGTCACGAAAATGAAGCCGTCGGCTTTGACTGGTTGCTTGACGTCTGTCGTGTATGTATTATTTGTATGCTTACGTGCAACCTGGTGCGTTCTTGATACTAACTGCCTGCCCCCCGGCCCCAAAAAATAACTTGAAACGGATAATTTTCTCCCGCAGGAAAAACTCCGAGTGACGAAGGACGAGCGGGTAGCCAGGGACATCATGGCGGTGCTGCGGAGGGTTTCGATGCGGGCGGCGTCGGAGGGGAGGTTTGCCGCGTCAGAGATCGGTGAGCGATGGTGTTGCCTATCGAACCGAGAGGATCGGATCGGTTTCGGACGACGTGGCGAGAATACTTTCGATCGGTTTTGTATCGAGCGTCAATATGACTAGTGCGAGACATAGTTCCGAGATATTGCGATCAACAAGCGGGTATCAGGAAGGGCACTATACTGGCGGGGGCAAAAGCAGAGCAGACACTGGGCTGTTCATGTGGCCCCACCATCCGAGTCTGCCTCCCTTTCTTTGACGAGCCATTTGTCGCGGCCGATGCTGATGGATTACCCCGCCTCCCTTGTGCCCACGCGCGTCCATACTATTTGTTCACTGCTGTAGGCTTTGACAGGCTGCAGTTCTTGGGCGAAAGGAGCCTGGGCAACGGGGGTTTCGGCACCGTGCTTGGCGCGTCTCTGGAAGGGGCCCCCGTGGCGGTGAAAAAGCTCAACAACCAGAACATCAGGGCCGAGCTGCTGGACGGGCTGAGGAGGGACGTGCAGGATTTCCACGCCATGCAGGTGGGGTAACGCGTCATATTTCTTTTTTTTTTTGCTTACAAGAATGAAACGGACTCATATGTGTTCACGGCTAACGAGGTCCAGTGCAAATCAGCAATGAATTATTGGTGTTGTGTTGTGTGACATCACTTGTTTTTTCTCTGCGTCCGTTTTTTTTTATTTTCTATATATTATTTAATGGTATCCAGGGTTTGTATTGTGTTGCGTGACCTAATCAAGCTTTTTGTTTGGATTACGTTTTTTTTTTTTTTCGATGAATATTTAATCCATGGTATTGTTGTTGTTGTTGTTGTTGTTTTTTGTTTTGTTTTTTCTCTCTTTTTCTGTTCCAGATGGCCTTGTCTCTGCTTGCGTTGTGAAGTACCAAGATTGAACCAAGGGGGTGTACCTCTTTCTCTCCGGCCCATGATAGATAGTGACTCCTAGTCTCAGTTGATACCTCGCATAGCGCGAAGAGGGAGTGGAGGATTCCAAAATATCTGTCGTTGATTTCTATTGACTTGCGGACCCCTCGGGGCCAGTTTATTTGAGTGTACCTTTTTAGGGTAAGTTAACCTGTGACCACGGGAATCGACCGCGTCGAGTGTTGGATCAGTACGGACATACGAAGGTACTGGGTAGAGAGAGATCGGAACGGTTTTTAATGTGAAGACAACAACAACAACAACAACAACAATTGTGTTGCGTGACCTAGAAAAGCTTTTCTTCGCGTCGCCCGTGATTTTTTTTTTTGCAGTACGACTTCGTGGTGAGAACCCTGGGGGGCTGCACCGTACGGCCCAACGTCTGCATCGTCCAGGAGCAGGCGGCAACCAACCTCTTCGACCTCCTGCACAGGCCGGACCTTAGCATTCCCCTGACCCTGCCGTCGCCGGAGAAGGCGGCCATGCTCTACGACGTCGCGCGCGGGCTGCACTTCCTACACGTGAAGCGGATGGTGCACGGCAACCTCAAGAGTACCAACGTTCTCGTGTTCGAGAACAACCGCCTCAAGTGAGCAACACCAAGAACATGTATCCGAGCCATGTATCATGTATCCCCCCCCCCCCCCCCCCAAGTTGTTTTTCAAGTTTCCTATTCCCCGGTGCCCCCCTTCCCCAAAAATTTCCGTAACAATCCACTCTCCCTCCTCCTCGGCAACACACAGAGTGAGCGACTTCGGGATGATCGCGCTGAGGGAGTCGCAGTCTCTTGGAGGGGGAGACACGGTGGGGTCGGCAGCTTGGACGGCCCCCGAAGTATTGGATGACCAGAACCCGTCCGTGCTGTCCGACGTGTACAGGTGAGAGCACGAGTCGACGGTATTTGCAGGGTTCGTTGGCACGTCTGTAGAAGCCAGACGGGTGCTGTACGCGCGTGTGTTGGGGGCGGTGGTGTATCACTGTAGTATAGTAGTGTGTGTTGGTCACAGGAAAGCATGGCGTATTACGCATGCAAGCCAAGGGACAGTAGGGTGTCGGATATGAAAGGCCGCATATTGTAGTGCCGCGGGATTTTCCCGGCCTTATATCGGGCGACCGGCCTTGTACAGGGCCCCCTACTGCATAGATGGTGGTGTTGGTGTAAATCTTCTCTCTCTCTCTCTCTCTCTCTCTCTCTCTCTCTCTCTCTCTCTCTCTCTCTCTCTGTCTGTCGCCTATTGGTGATGTTTTCATTTACCCCGAACGGCCCATTTTCTCGGGGGGCCCACGCAACCCCATAACGATTTGCTCGAACCACGCGCATACATACGCACTTGCTGCATCGATCGATGGACGACAGCTTCGGAATCCTAGTCCACGAGGTGCTGACGCAGCGGGTGCCTTTCGCCGGAAAGAACGTTGCCAAGGTCATCACGGCCGTCGTCGCAAAGGGACACCGACCGGGATACCTTGAGAACGAGGAGGCGCAGTTCCCCCCGGGGCTAACCAAGCTCGTTGACGTGTGCTGGACGCAAGACCCAGCGGTGCGTGTGATGTTTTTGAGTCAAATGCCGTGCTTTTTTTTTTTGTCATATATGTTGTACATAGTATAAGATTTGGTCACTTTTCATGCTTGGGCGTTTCTGTCTCTCGCGGCAGCGAGTCTTTTCTCGCGGTTCCTTCTCAGGGGCACGCAGGAGGCTCGTCGGTACATCAATGCCCGTGTCCGGAGCTCGGTAGGCCTCCGTGGGGCGTGTGGTTGACGGCCAAAGTTGCGAAAACTGGCTCAAAACCCCGAGGACGCGTGCGCTGACAAAGCCTGGCGAACCAATTCTGAAACCTATCAAACCCATCAAATACGACGGTTTGAAATATTTGCCTCTTGCTTCTCCACTTTCATTCGTTCATTAGTTCATTGATTCGTTGGCTGTGACTCTTCGTGTCATCGCATTGTCCAACAGCAGTACCTACGTTTACTACACTTCGCTGCGGGCCAAGTATCGACAAGTCTGAGAACATGCATCCAGCAGCAGTGTTGAACATGTCCCATTTGTGGTGTTGTTTCGGTTTGAAATTCGGTTCTCATCGGAAATCTGCCATCATCAATCAAAGACATCATGGAAGTCTGAGTTTTCGCTTGTTTTGTTTGTGCTTGAGGGAAACAAGCCAGTTTTGCTTTTGCGCGAAAACGAGCTGGTTTTTGTTTGCACGAAAACTACCTAGATTTTCTTCTATCTGAGGATGGGAGAGTCCACGATAGGACAGGGCTAGCAAGAGACCAGTTCGAACTGAGTGTCTGGACTTGTCCTTGCATTCCCGCCTGATCGTCCACGGCGCTTGTTTTTGCAGGCTCGCCCAACGAGCTTGAACGGCATCGTGACGGAGCTCGGGCACATCCTCAACGCCCTCGGGGGTGACCCTCGCCCTCAGCCTCACACTCAGGTGTGTTGTGCTTACGCATTGTCATGTAACGTATGTAGGTCTTGTTTTGCTACCGTTCTTATCCTCCTTGTGCTTACGCATTGTCATGTAACGTATGTAGGTCTTGTTCTTTGTTACCGTTCTTCTCCTCAGTTGGAAGTATGTTGTGTCGTTCGTTCTTGCTGTTAGTTCGCAAGGATGTTCCTACATGTATCGTTGGCAAGTTGCGGCTGTGGGCGGCTCTCGCCTGTGTCACTGGCACCGGCCGTGCGCGAAGGTCGGTTTCCGCAGGTGTCTTGCTCTTCGTTTTATCGTTGGCAGGTTGGACGGCGGGCCGCTCTCGGCTAACTCGCTGGCCCCGGCTGTGTGCGTAGGCCCGTTTGGTGGTGGTTGTTGAACGCTTGTGCTGCTGCTCTGGCCGGCTCTTTCGCAAATCCTCGGCGTGTACTTGCACCCAAAATGGGAACGTGATTCGTATCGCCAAGGTCGTCGCAATAACGCACACGCACCCAACACACGGTGGGCGAATATTCCCACACACACACACAAGAATAACACAGGCGGGGGAGCACGACGGCTTTTACGATAGACCGCTTTCGTGTTTGTTTATCGCGCTGCAGTTGACATGTTCTCGTTCGGTCAGCCTCCTCAGCCCCGTCGATGCTACTGCCAAGGAACATACACGCACGTTTTTCCCGTGTGGACAATTTTATTCGCGCCAAACACACCGCCCCCCTACAATATCTGACAAGAGTACGCGCCTTACGCCCAAAAACCCACAATGCCAACAGACCGCGGGCGAAGCGGCACCGTCCACGCCCATTGAGCAAAACACCCCGGGGAGAATCCCGCGAGTCTCGATGACGGAACAGGAGCGCCGGATTCACGACCTTGAGCAAGAGCTTCGCGCTCTCAAGATGCAGAAGGGAGGCGATGGCGGCGGCCGAGGAGGGAGCGGAGGTGCGATGGCGAGGCAGCAGCAGAGGGTGCAGCAGCAGCAGCAGCCGGTCTCTCGACGTTCCAGCGGGGTCGTTCATGCCACAATGTTCCCCAACGCCGGAGAAGGCGAGGGTTCCGAAGGTATGCGGTTACGGTGCTTGCTGTGGAGTTCGAGAAATGCAGTTTTTTCTTTCAATTTTTTTCACCTGCCCCATGTCATACACGCAAACGGGAAAGAAACGGGGTTTTAATATTGTTTTGAAACTTGACTCTGCGTCCGGGTTTCTCGGAGCAATTTTAACGGGACAGCGTGTGGTGGGTCTTTTTACCAAGTGTTGAAACAACGCGACGTGGCGGGGGAGGGGTTATTCGTATAGTGCTGCAACATGGCAGCGGTGGTGTGTGGTGTTTATATATAGCGAGTATTTCAGATGGATCCAACCTAAGGGGGGAGGAGTCTGACATTGGTGTTTATTGGAGTTGATGAGAAGTGAGCATTTATTATTATGTGCCAAAGAGGATGTCTGCGTGCGTATAGAAGAGGAGTCATGCGCACCGGGAGAAGGCAGCTGCTCGCAGGACATTCCGTTTGTATATACAAGTGTTTGGCGTGTGTGTTGTTGGACGAATGGGTGGCGGTGCCGGGCCGGGCGGTCTCGTTGACGGCGCCTCTACGTGTGCCTGCCTGCCTGCCTGCCTGCAAGCCTGCCTAGATTCCAGCGGTGCGGGGCCCCTGTGGCAGTTGTTATTCTTGCCATAGTCTTTACGCAAAGGGTGTTCGTGAAGCCTGACCGAAATACGTTTGGCACCTCTCTCTACGTGTGGTGTCGTTGTCCGGACATTGAAAACCTCGCGTCTCGTGCCCTGTCCCGTATCCGCCGCCGACCGCGATGATGTTTCGTCGTTTTCGTCGCCTTTTCTCTTTCTTTCCATCCTGCTGTGTGCCGTTTCCACCTGCTCCGCCCGCCGACGTATGTATCGTTGACGAAATACATTTTTTGTCGTTGACGTCGCCTTCTCTTTCCATCCCGCTGTGTGCCATTGTCGTTGTCGTTGATTAACTAAAATACAACGAACTACAAAAAAGAGCGAAAGGCCCTAAGGGCTCTCTATACCGCTACCCAGGGGCCAGGGTGGTACGAGCAAACCGGCTGGGAGACTAACGACCCCAACCTATCGAAGTGGTACGGAGTGGTCTGTGGCGAGGGGGGGCGCGTTACGTCGCTGCACCTCCGGTCGAACAACCTTCAGGGTAAGAAGAGAGAGGGAAGGGGGGGCCGTGACTCGGTGTTTGGGGGCGGGCAGGGGGGGGGTACTCGTGTTTTTTTAGGTCATGTCTGGGCACCTCCCGTTCCCGACCGCGTGTCCCCGACGTGCTGTTGTTCGGCCTGCACGTGCGATATGACAAGCCGTCTCAAAGCAACCTCTGCTGTTAACGCTCCCATCCCTTGACGTACGACTTCGACGGCCAATCATCGCCCCCGATGGCTTGGGGAGCAGGTCAGCTACCCCGCGAGCTGGGGTGCCTCAGCCGCCTGAAGACCCTGGTTCTGTCCGACAACAAGCTGGAAGGACCCGTTCCGCATGAGTTCGGAGACCTTGGAAGGCTTGCGGAGCTGGACCTGTCCATGAACGATCTCACAGGTGAGCCAGAAAGAAGCATGTGTACCGCCTGGATCCACGTCGTTTGGGTGTGGCATGCTTACGTAGGCTGCGGCATTAGACATGTGGCTGTGCTGAACTTGGTCATGGTCAGACACTACGAAATTCTACACCGTTGCGGGTTCCAACTATGTCGTTTGTGTTTTCTGTTTTTTTACATTTTTCTGGATTAGATTTTTGTTCTCCGCATTTTACGTGTTCCTTGTGGTTATTCTGATACACCATGCTTTATGCTGCGGCGATGAGTGTATCTAGCATCGGCCTCGGCTGACCAAACGACAAGACATCTGTGCGCCAGTCGTACAATACGTGTATGCGTGTGTTTTGTTTTGTCTCATCTTGTGTGTATGCAACCCGCCTCTCTCTCTCTCTCTCTCTCTCTCTCTCTCTCTCTCTCTCGCGCGCGCGCGCGCCCTCTCCCTCCCTCTCCCTCTCCCTCTCCTTATCTCTCACACTTCTTTCTCTGTGTTTGACTTGTTTGATTTGTTTTAGGGGCGATCCCTGGCGGCCTGTCGCGAGCGGTATCCCTCGAGAGGTTGTACCTCCAGTGCAACGGCTTTACCGGTGAGCGACCGACTCTACCGCATCAATGTAGCTCGCGTGAGATTCCACCTCCCCTGGACCGATTGTCTGAAGTCTTGAGCATTAAACAGCCACGGCGCCGAAGATGACGGCGTTTGAACCGTCTCGTCGAGAGCTTTCCGAAGACTCGTGGTTTGATTTTGGGGTCCTGGCGGTGGTGGAGTGATCTATTCGAGTTCGTTTGCTGCACCATGTTTTTTGCGTTGTGGCGTAAGGGCACGTTTGATTGGGGGGCCTTGTGAAACTGACCCCAAGCTCTCGGAACTCATGTTGGTTGGAGGGCCTCGTGAAACTGACCCAAATTCGCGAACATGCATTTGCAGGGAACTTGCCGAGATCTCTCCAGAAGCTGAACCACCTCAAGATCTTCATGGTCGACTGGAGGGAGCTCTCCGGTAGGCAGTAGTGATCGGGTCGTTGATCTGCCCTGTAAACGTACTGCTGTAAACGCGCGCACAGACATTTGAGCATTCGGTCACTAGTGGTGTGAGGTGTACCCAATACCCACAGGGAGCGAGAGAGGCGTATGGCATGATTCGAGCAAGGAATTTTGTGTATAACAGCATTGGGCATCCATCCCCTCTGTAAATGCCCCCCCTTTTGCAATAGGCGAATCAAGAAACACGCTTGTGCTTGGGAGTACAAGTATGCATGTATTGTAAGGATATATATTTCAATCGTGGGAAGCCACTTTTGGCAGTGGTCCTGTTTGGGATAGGGTTTAGGAACACCCCTCCGTCCCCCAATGTAGACGTGGTTGGAGGTCAAACGACTCAACAACCGAGTGCTGCTGCGTTGCTCCCCCCCGCCCCCACCTCTCCCGAGTCGCAGACACCCACCCCTTCCGGAATTTCCGCAAGGCCTCCCCGCCGCCGACCCAGGCGGAGATGGACCGGGCCCTCTGCGAGTCGCGCACGATCGCCCGCGCGCGCACCCTCATGTCGGCCAGGGCGGCGTGCCCCCCTGCTCCCACGAACCCCAACCAACAGCAGATCCCGCCCGGTTACCCGGGAGCGGCGGCGGGTTTAAGCCACTCCAACCCGGGGTCGAACCCGCAAACTCCGATCTCGTCGAACGGGGGCGGAGCTCCCCGTGGCGGCGGCGGCGGCGGCGGCGGCGACAGGTTTAAGGTGATGCTGCGCGGCGGTTCGTCGGGCTCGAGGAGCGACACTCCGTCGAGGCTGGGCAGAGCGACGAGCGCGGTCGAGGGGCCGGTGTCCGGCGCGGCGTACGGCGGCGGGGAGGAGTGGGTCGGCGGCGGCGATGGGAGGGCCCCGGGAAACAGCGGCGACGGAGGAGGGCAGTGGATGAACGCCCACCAGCACCAGTACCCTGGGGCAGCTGCCCCGTACCATACTCCCACCGCACCGTACCGAGGAGAGGACGGGGTGAGTGCGAAGGCAGGGGTTGCGAGTTTTGAGAGTTGGCCTTGGTAACGCCTGGTACACAGTAGTAGTTGCGGTTCGTTTTGGATGTTATGCGGGATTTTTCTTTTTTTCATCGACTGCTGCTGTCGGGACGTAAGGCTGGCCGCTTGCCCATTCCCCTTCGTAAGGGTGTGTCTGTCGGTTGTGTGGGGTGCACGTGTACCTCGTCCATGTTCTGATGGACGGTTAGTGAATCGAAGCCTCATCGGCTTCCATCATACAACAGGGACGGCTTCGCTTTATGGCGTCTCTGTCCTCCTCTGTCTATCTCTCACTCTCTGTCTGTCTCTCCTTCTCTTTCTCTCTTCTCTCTCTCTCTCTCTCTGTCCGTCTCTCTCCCTCTCATTTGTGTCGCCATCTGCAACAGATCCAAAGCAAGGCCAAGGCCAAGGTCGAAGCCGAGGCCCCCGCCCCCGCCCGCAAGTGGAAGAACGCCTTCTCCTTTGCTGGCAAACACCTGAAGGACATAGTGGCCGTCGACCTGCACCCCGGTTTCACGGACAGCAGCCACCAAGGGAACGAACAACCCCCTCCCCGAGGCAACAAGTGATGTGCCAACGAACATCCAACAGGCGCGACGGGTCATCCATACCTACCAGAAACAAGAGGTAGATGTGGAAGTACGTCGACTGTCGGATATCTCGCTCTTGAGGAAGCGCCCTTGGTCGGGCGGACAAGTGTAATAGTGTCGCCATTGAGCTGCCAAGAACGTAATAAAACACTGGTTGGGCCTTTTCCAGAGTCTGTTTTTTTCTTGGCAAGAAGAAGTAGCTTCTTTCGGGCGCGAGGGGGAGAGCGCAATTTGAAAGGAGCTTTTCGGTCGTTTTTTTTTTCTTTCTTTTTTTCTTGTCATTGCTTCATGATTGTGGCTTTTGCTTCTAGCGAAGAGGCGAATCGAACAGAAAAGCAATCGCGCATCGGCGGCGCGATGATTGCCGGTTCGGCCGACACGCCTGGATTTTTGTGGCGTAATTCACGCTTTGGTCGGTTGGTCTAGGATAACCTGACGGGAATGGCAGATGCATGGCCCATGCTCATGGTTCTTCATGCTCGGGAGAGGGAGGGGGGGACGCGGATGTGAAAATGGAGAGGGGGGGGTTCAAATCTATTGGTATGTCGGTACACGTCCCGTTCCTGTTTTTTTCAGCGAGGTCGTGCTTGGTTTCTGTGCCATCGGAAGAACACCGGCGAGTTGTCCTGTTCCTAAGGCTAGCGATACGCCTTTAAGGCTAGCGGTTGCGCGCCTGCATCCTTTTGCGCCGGCCACGGTTGTGTGTGTGTGTTGACGGTCGGCGGAACGACAGTTGCACGTTTAGTGGCGCGGCGGTGTCCGTTCACTGGTTGTCCTGTTTTGATGGGTTGGGCGAGACAGCGCAGCTGGTTCATGTGTTGAAAGCTTCCGCCGGGTTGATGGGAAAGTCATGGCAGTCGATTGTACTGACTGTTACAGCGGTGCTAAAAGAACAATGACAAGTACACCCACCGGCTTGACTGCAACAGCTCGTTAACTCTTTCTCAAGAGCTGGGGGAGAAAGGGGCTAGGGACTTGGGGATAATATAGGTTTTGCGCGTAGAAACATTCCGTTTATAAAAAAGTCAAGAACGGGAATGCAGATGTTGAGTTTATTCCGAAAGGTAGGCAGGTCCTGGGTGCCGTTTTTTCTTGCCGGGCTTTTGGGGTCAGGGGAGTGAGACGGTGGGGGTCAGTTACTGCCCGTGGGAAGTAGGAAGCCGTGACCACGGAAAACGAATAGACCAAGTGTTCGCGTTGAGAAAGAGAGGGACATCAGTGTAGGCAAGATTGATGTGATTTGTTTGCGGTGATGATGCACCCTTACCTAAACTTTCATGGCAGTATAGGTGTAGTTTTCTTGGAGGACAGGGAGCCGGGAGGAGGGCTAAGACTACGTCTGGTTTGTGTTCCCCCGTTGCCTCCCGTTTTTTTGTTTGTTTTCTGCTGCCCTCTTTTTGCCCTCGCTTCTCGCCGCCACAAGGGTCCTGCTGTGTGAATCGGGGACGCGAGCTTGATGTATGTGTAGGTTACCATCCGAGATTGTTTTCCCCTCCTTGATTGTTGCTGTTCTCCTTGCGGTGGAAGAGTGCCTCTCCGAAAGAACAGACGGCTGGCTGTGTCGTGAACGGGCTCGGGTAGAGCAAGGACGACGGAGTCGAGGGAGGAGCCCCTTGGAATGGAACACGGCGGTAGGTGGGGGTTTTGCACGAGGCGACCACCCAGGGAAATGTGTTTTTACAAGTTTTGCTCTTGAGTGTTTGATGCCGCCAGCTCCCAACTTGATTTTATCGACACCATTTTTGGTATCTGTTGATAGGTGTATCTGGGTCGAGCGGATGGTAAGGGTCCCCGCAAATGCTCCTCACCCAGTGTTGGGTGGGTGGGTGGGTGGGTAAGGTGTCTATTCAATTTTTCAATACTACGATATAGTGCCGCCGCATCCTCTGTAGTATATGTCATCCTGTTTTTTCGTGTGGCACTTGATTACCTCGTCTCTCTCGTAGTGTTCTCGGCTCCTCTGCTTGTACAGCCTCTTTCTGCATTTTAGTCCGGCATGTCTGTCTGCATGTCTGTCTAGCTTGTCCGTCTGTCCGTCTAGCTCGTCTATCTGTCTAGCTTGTCTATCTGTCTGTCTGTCCGTCGTGTCTGTCTGTCTGTCTGTCTGTCTGTCTGTCTGTCTGGTCAGGGCGATATAGAATTCTTGCTTTTTTTGGGGGGGGGAGGGGGCGAGAATGCTTGTGTAGCTGGGCAACGTGACCCGTTTTTTCACACAAGAGCAACCACTGTTTTCGTGTTGACAAATGTTCGTTTTTGTTGCGTAATAAG